TTTCCCAAAAAAAAAAAAAAAAAAAAAAAAGGGACAGTTCGTCTGCCAGATTGTGGCACAAATGAAAGACAGCCAGCCCTTTTTGCTCTTGCTGTAGGGATGACTAATTCTTCTGCCTCCACAATGAAATGCAGGGCTCAACCGCACTGACAAGGTCTAGGAAAGAGTGCCACGAAAACAAACCAACACAAGAGATCCTTGTTAACCAACCTGAAACCAACCCTGCAATTTCCAAGGATTCATATTCTGGAAGGAAATTCTTATTTGGTCTCGCCACACCAGGAAGCTACAGACCCAGAGTCCAGAGTGACAGATCGATCTATTGATGTCTCCTCCACAAAACAGCCAAGTATAGTACAATCTCACTTAGCCAGAACATTAGCATTAACTGAAGTCTTCATTTTAGTGAGGTTTTAGAGGAAGTAATTTTTATGAAATTCCTAAAATTATTTCATTTGTTCTGCTCACACTTATGGGGCACTGAAGGCCACTTAAGCGCCCTGTGATATCCCAATGTTTTATTAAATGACTTATGGTACAAAAATATGGATGTAGAAGGTCCAGTGTAATGAACTGAATATATACTCACCCTGAAACAATCCAAAAGTTACATTACTAAATGCTTGAGGTGGGGGTTATTTTCCTTCTTAGTCCCCAAAGTGAAAGACAGAATAAAAAGGTTTGATTAATGACGGTTCCAAGTAAATTTCCATAAAGCAAGTTTTAAGGTATTTTTCAGTTCATACAACACATTCAAGACTTTGTTATCTGACTTCTCATTGAATAAATAAGCTATTTTTCCTTATTTGCCATATTAGTCTGCCAGGGACACCGTAACATGGTACCACGGGCGGGTGGCTCAAACAACAGATGCTCATCTCTTACAGTTCCAAGGGCTGGTTGTCCAAGATCAAGGTGCCATCAGGGTTAGTTTGTGGTGAGATCTCTCTTGCAGATGACCACCTTCTGGTTCTGTCCTCACGTGTCCTCTTCTTTTGAGGACACCAATCCTATTGGATTGGGACCTACTCTTATGACCTCACTTAACCTTAATGACTTCCCTAAAGGCCCAACCTACAAATGCAGCCATGCTGTGGGTTAGGGCTTCAACATATGGATTTAGGTGGGGGCCACAATCCCATCTATAACACCCACTCTCGGGTGAGTGAAGAATGAATTGGATATGATGTCAACATATATAGCATAATCCAAATGTTGTGATGGGAGATTATAGATAGGAACGTGTCCTCCTTTATTCACCTTTACTTTCCCCTCCCTAGAGATTGCCAAGTCTTTGGCTAAAAGCATGCTCCACTTCAACACCTTCGGAGGGAACCCAGTGGCCTGTGCCATTGGATCGGCCGTGCTTGAGGTACGTTCCAGCAGCCACGTGGACGTCACTTGTGTCACAAAATGACTACCGCAAAGCCACACACACATTCTCATGACTCTATCGCAGCATATTATTGGATAGGAGGGTTAACTACTAGGTTAATGAATTAAAGTTAGATTCCCAGTTATTATTCTGACACCTGCCCTTTTTTTTAACCATCTAGTTTTGGTTAAACACATAACAAACTTTACATGTGTGGGAAATGTAAGCATTCCCCTAGCTCCTGGTAGCACTGAAATTTCTGCATTATTTGAGTGGTATTATGGATAGTTACCAATTGCTATCTTTAATTTCAGTTTAATTTTGACTCTTTCTTATATATTCTTTCTTGCTTTTTTTTGGTACTGTCATAAGTTAAAAGACTAAAAAGAAACTGAGTGCTGTGTAATTATAAGTTAATTCAGCTACTGTTTGGCCCACTCCATTGATTTAGGCTGGGGTAGCATCTGTAGGAAAAGATTTTTTAAATGCCCTTGCCAATATGCATGAGGGTATTGGCTTCAACAAGTTTAACGTATTTCTGAAAGAATGTTCAAGAATAACAATAGTTGTTTTGGGGGTGGGGGACTTTGGGGCTGGGAAACAGGGGTCAGCAAGGAGCTTTCTACTGTATACACTTTCATATTTTCTGATGTTTGAATGAGGCACATAGTTCCCCTATTCAGAAACTTAAGTTTAAAAGTATTTTTAAATAAAAACAAGTAAGAGCTGTCCTTGCTATTTAAAGAGTACCTTCAAATGTGATTAAATCATGAAATGGGCAGCTGTGGGTAGGGGGTGCCATTGGCTTCATTTTGTGGACATTGCCAACTTTGTAAAAGTGCTGCATCACTTCAACCAAGTTAGAAAGCAGAGAAGACTTGAGTGAACAGATAGGTCTTGAAAATGTCAGGTTTGCCTGGAGTCACACAATTATTATCAGCAAAATATAGATGCAGCATACTGCACCTATCTAGTCAAGAATCACAATCTCCACCATGAGCACAAGTAGGTGAAAATCCTTTTGTATTTTCAGGTGCCCTGACTCTGGGCAACACAGGGCTCTGCTCAGCTCAAGAGGCCAGGGCCCTGCAGTAAGGTCCCTGGGCAAGGACAGCCTGTCGGGCTGGGAGCAGCCGGACAAAGGCCAGCAAGCTCCCAGGAGGACAGGCACCTGTGACTTTTTTTCTCAGAGCTCTTCTCTTATCCCCACTGTCTCCCAGTTTTCAGCAAAGCTGGGCAATACTAAACCTCAGGGTTATGGAAGCCCCGTTACAGACTGCATGGAGACGTGGCTTCTATTCTGTCCTACATTCTCACCCGCCCCTGAAGATGAGGAAGGATGGGGAGGAATCCCCTCTACCTACCGCAACTTTTCTTCCCCTTACAGAAATCTGTCTGTAGTGCCTGGTATGGCCACGCTGGACTTGGGTTCCATTTGTCTGGTCCAATTTCTGTAAAGAGGGTCGTGTACATTTACCTCTCCGCGTTTCTCAGTCAATTTTAGAACGGTTTTAACGTAAAGGCATTTGGGGCTTTCTCTCAACAGGTGATTAAAGAAGAAAAGCTACAGGAAAACAGCCAAGAAGTTGGCACCTACATGCTACTGGAGTTTGCTAAGCTGCGGGATGAATTTGAAATTATCGGAGATGTCCGAGGCAAAGGCCTCATGGTAGGAATAGAAATGGTGAAGGATAAGGTAGGTTCTATCTGCTGCTCTTTCCTTGGCATCTTGGGGCAGCAAGAGTCAAAGCAGCAAACATCGGCCAAAGCTGACTCCATTCATTCTCGGGCAGAACCCATAAGGACAGCACGAGCGTGGAGTATGAGCAAAACGCCAGCAGGCCCTCAAGAGCTCTAGAGGGGCAAGGGTGGGCATTTGAAAAAGGGAACTGGTAATATTCTTGCCAGACTAGGAAAAGAGCACCAGTGATAACTGAATATTTAGAATTAGAAGTGTGGGGAAGGAAGGAAATTATTTGGGGAGAGGCAGGTGATCCAGAGACCCAGGAGGGGGAAGTAAGGGAGAAGGGCTGGGAGAAGGTTGAGGTGATGGTTTGGGGTAAGGATATTAAAGATCTATAGGGTGTGTGTGTGTGTGTGTGTGTGTGTGTATTTCAATCTTCTAAGTAACCAGGGAGAAATGTGACTTTCTGATGATGTTCCCCACTGTGACAAACTCAACCCAACAACTGAACTTAGCATTTTCCCCAAACCAGTTATCCCTCCCAAGTTTACTGCTTTTGTTTCTCACCCACCACTGTTCTCCCAATTGCCCAGCCTCAATACCACTAAATAAGCAGCGGCTCCTTCTCTCCCCTGACTTCTAATGTCAAGTCCCGTTGACTGTTTGCCGTCTCTCAAAGCCTTCCCTTCATTTCTACTGCAGCCCCTGAAGTCCGTGTGAGAAGGAAATTGTCCCCTGTCCCCATAAAAGCAAAGCCGAGATCCTCCAAGGAGGGCAATAGCAGGAGAATCTTGGCCCAGGGAGGGATATTCAGACTCACCCCTTTACCCCAACTCTTGTCCATGGGGACTCCGTTTTCCCCTAAGTGACTTCTTGCTATTCGATCTAGTTTAGGAGAGTTGATACTCAGTTCTTTTAATCTTTAGACCAGACCATGGATAGAAGACTCTTCCATTAAAACCACAGAGCAGAGCCAGTACAACGTTGGAATGTTTAAACAGGATTTGAAAGCTCAGGGAAGACAACAGGAAAAGAAGTAGGCTATGGGACTAGGCCACAAGCTGTACACACTTATTTTCAGCTTGTGGGCCAGCCAAGGGCTGCTTTAAGGCTCGGAGAGTACATCCTAGTCCCCAGCCCAGGAGCTCCCTCCAAGACTGTGGACTCCTCAAAGTCCAGGCTCCACAGAGGAGAGCCCAACAAGCGAGGACAGCTTCCTCCTTTCCCCGCTGTTCCAAACCCAACTTCTACATGTTCAAGGAGAGGTGAATAAAGATGTTCCTCAGAACTCGATTTGTCCTGGTGAAACACCAAATCCTCCCCCATGGTGCACGATGACATCTTAGGATCAACTAGACAATTCTAGTCTTTCCCCCATCCCAGGTCTTCCCTTATCCAGTAGTCTGAAAGTTTGAATGTTACCTTCCTTATCTTAAAGGTCTAAGACATACAACGATGTGAGTATCTCAGGGAGGCCCAGCCTTATTCCTCTCCAGGAACAGAAGATCTGGGGAATGAGTTGGATGTTGGGGGGGGGGATGCTAAAGCCTAGAAGAAGGGTGCGCAGAAAGCCCTGAGAAGAATGAAGCCGGGAGTTCTGCAGGGAGCCCTCATCTATCCCACAAGGGTGGAAGGGGCTGGCCCACAAGCCAGGACCACGCCTTGTATGTCTGAAGTAAGAGCCAGACCTAGTGCTGATGCCTGTGTGGCTGATTCTCCTAACTCACACTCAAGTTAGGAGAATCACGGCAGTGGTATCAGCCCTGTCACCTGAGGGCCACTTTACAAATACAGATGCCTAAGCCCTACCACAGTATCCTAATTCGATAGGTCCAGTGTGAGGCACAAATATCTGTAGTTTGAAAAGGCTTCCAGGTCATGCAGACACACAGTCAGACTTGAAATGACCAAGTCAGAAGGAGGTTAGACTCAGGAGACAGGAGATGCACAGGAAGGGCACAAGCCCAGACCCCAGTGTCACCACAGGGGCTCTGGCACATCTGGACCCACAGGAAGGGACCAACTGCAGATGCCTAATGACCTGAAACAGCCTCTTGGCTCCCAAAGCGCTTACCTTTCCCAACCCTGGAGGATTCAGTGTTGAGGGGGAAAGAGCAAATTTCACACGCAGGGGAGAGGACAAGCGGGCCACCTCAGCTGCCAGGTGGCTTTGCAGCCCGGGAAGGCTTGGCTGTTCACATACTCGTGCAAATCCTGAGCCATTTCCTGGGCTTTGAAATGAGCTCTCTACATGGGCAAAACAAAGTGGGGAGTCGAGGAGAATTTCCATATAAATAAAGCCAACTCCAACTTCAGCTGGTAAAGAACCAAGCTCACAGCGTAGCATTAGCAGAGCCAAGCTTAGCTGGTTGTCTGCATTCAACTCTGTTTGCTTTTAGGAATTTGGAAATGAATTGGGATAAAAGCAAATATTGAATATTAATATTTAATAACTTACCATCCCTTCAAAAAATAACCCAGTCCAGCAATTAACAGCTTTATTCCATTACAGGGGGAGAGAGAGATTAGGAGGGAGCAAAGAATGCTGATTGCTTGAGTTGTGTGTTTTTTTCTCTTAGAAATAATGTCTTTCACCATTGAAACGCCAAATAGAAAATATTTTTTAAATGTATTTACAGATGAGCCGCCAGCCTCTTCCCCGTGAGGAAGTCAATCAAATCCATGAGGACTGCAGGCTCATGGGACTGATCATTGGTAGAGGGGGCGTTTTTTCTCAGGTAAGAGAAAGGCTGGTGTTTACCTGTCACTTTAGGTAGGTATCTCCCTGATGTCCCAATTCTGGTCACTCTTCTAGAGGACTATGCTAGGGGATTTCCTCCAGGCAGAGTGCTCAGGTATTTCCAAAAGAAAGTGGAAGTGAAGCCCTCGGGCCACTAGGGGGCGCTGCGTCCAATGGTTTGGTTATTCTGTTCTGTGAGGAATAGATACAGAGGACAGGCTAACAGGGCATAAAGGACATGTGCAGACAAGCCAGAGGATTTAGAGCATGAGTCATAACAAAGCCGTAACAGTCATGCAATAAACATTCTGTCTCATGTATGAGTTCACTGTAACCTCTAAGAGCGATCCTGGTTGTTCTTAACCGAACTCTGGGCTCTGACTTCGAATCTTAAACCTACTAAGACTTAGTGGCCCCAGGGGCCAGGAGCAACCTAACAGCGATGGCAGGCCCAGGTGACCCTGCAGGAGAGGTGGGGGACTATCCAGGCCGGGTCCCTAAGGCAGAACTCAAAATGGGCCACTCTATTTCAATGAACACTTGCCTTATCCCTCTCAGAGGAAATGGGAGCTATTAGGCAACATCTCCCTATAAACTCCTCCGCCCCCCGTGTCCATTTCTTACCGCCTTTCCCAAAGGCTCAGAGAGTAGAGGGAGGAGTCACTCCTGGGCAGATCTAGGTCTCCCACCCGTGCTCTTGTCCTTCCTCACCTTGTTCTGCAACTTTTCCTTTCCCTCAACTTCTCCTCGGCCTGCAAACAGGTGTAGAGCTCTACCAGTCCAGACCAAACCATACCCCAAACCAGAATGAGCGCTTCTGCGAGGACACGTTCCATGCTTTTTCTAATCCTGGTCACAAATCTTTTTCTGCACAGATCACACAGAGTAATGGTTAAAAGTCCTAAGACGTGCAGCTTATGAAGACATAAGCAATTAATTGCTTAGTTATTCCTTAGTTATCTGGCAAATGCTTACTGGCAAAGCAGCAGTCACTATGCTGGGTACTAAAGCTGCAACGGTAAATAAGCTCTGGCCCCTCCCTTTTTGGAGCTGGCAGGAAAGAAAGACATAAACAGAAAATTACAATATAATAAGCTCACCAATGGCTACAAAAAGGAGTAGCATCGGAGGAAAGAGAAAGGACTCCTAGGCCAGCCTTTCTGGCTAAGCTGAGCCCTAAACAATGAGATAAACACTCGGAGCGTAGGTGGGACCACGGCAGAGTGCAAACAGCTGCACGCACACTAGTGTGGCTGGAGCTGAGGCCAAGGCAGTGACTGAGGATAATTAGAAGCCTGACTACTTGTCAGGCTCTGCTTAAATACTTTGCATGTATTGACTCATGTGATGCTCTCAACAAGCCTATGGAATAAGTACTATTATTAACCATATTTTATAGATGAAGAAAGAGAGACACAGAGAGGTTAAGTAAACTCCTCACATCACACAGCTAGTCAGTGGCAGAGCCAGGATCCAAACTCAGGCAGTCTGATTTCTGCATCTGTCCTCTGAGGAGGGTGAGGCCGAGGGGACAAGACTGGAGGCAGGGAACCCAGCTGGGGTTTGACGCTGCTGCTTGAACTTGAGTGATAGTCATTGTGATAGAGGGGACACTCAGAGAACAATTCGGGAGGTGAAACGCACAGGACTTGGATGTGGAGAATGCGGGAGAGTCGAGCATGAATCCCTCGCATCTGACTTGGTTCGGGGGATGGAGATGAGTTCAGCTTTGAACATGCTCCATTTTAGGGGTATACGGACATTCATTGCTATAGACAAGTGTGTAGCTCAGAGGAAAGGAAGGTAAATATCACGGTTTGGGAGTCAACAGCATGTAAGTGGTGAGATGAGGACATCTCCTGGGAAGTGTGTCTAGATCAAAAATGCAGTGAGATGAGGCTAGAAACCTGCGCACCGACATTTAAAGGGCAGGTGGAGAAGAGGGTGCCCAAGTGGCGGCAAAACAAAGGGCAGGGAGGTGTGAGAACAGTTAGTAGAGTGTGGAGTCGTGGGAGCAAGACAGTGGACAGGAAGACGGAGGGACCAAAGGGCCAAGTGCGGCAGAGGCCAGGAAGGTCACGGGCAGAAACACACCGTCGGATTCCACACTTAACAGGTCACTGGCAACTTTAGCTAAGGTGGTGTTAGAAGGTTGACAGGGGCAGAAACCAGACTGCAGTGGGTTGAGATGTGAACAGAGGGGAGGCAGAGAGGAAAATCATGGCCAATAACCCTGGCCAGGTAGCTCAGTTAGTTGGAGCGTTGTCCCAACTTGCCAAGGTTGAGGGTTCCATCCCCAGTCAGGGTGCATACAAGAATCAACCAACGAATGCATAAATAAGTGCATCAGCAAATCAATGTTTCTCTCAAAAAAATAAATAAATAAATAAAGCAATGGCCAATAAGCATCAACCTGTCTTTTTAGTAAGTTTGCATGAAAGAGAATAGCATTTGTATGACAGCTAGAAGGGACCAGGAACCAACAGATTTTTACTTGATGTGGTTTGGATTTGGGTTACGAGGGCTGTAAACCTGCTTGTTTATTGCTGAGGGAAAGTTGAAAAGAAGTTGAAGATGCAAGAGAACACCGGATATTTCCTGGAGTGACGGTGATGGGAGCATACAGCGCCAAGGGCACAGGTGGAAAACTTGGAGCTGAAGAGCAGAGACCCCTCATTCTCTGAACCTTCAGGCCAGGATATAAGAACAGATGTGGGAGCAAACAAGTTTATAGAAAGATCTTGCCTGACAGCTTCTGAGAAGCACAAGGCAAGATCGTCTATGAAATAAGAGTCAGAGGTGTAGGAGCTGAGTGAGGAAACTGAGGATGAAAAAGGTTTAGAATGATAAAGGAAGCTGACAGAGAACAAGAAAGATTTAGGGGACAGCAGAATTTGGAAACCCTGCCTACTAGTGTGTCCATCTGCGCAGCGGCGTGATGTTCTTTAACGCTTCTTGGCTATCTATGTTGGCGCAAAGCAGTTCAATTATAGCTTTGATCAGGGCTGGGACTCTGCAGCGTGGGTGCAGCTGCAGAAGGGTGGAAGGAAATGCAAGCACAGTGAGGGGGCAGGTGAGAGAACAGTTCAGACAATCAACCGCATGCTCCAAGCTGGGTAGAAAAAGGAGAGAGATCTGAGTGGGGCAATAGATCTGAAGATAACGGAGGGATGGGGAGACAGAAGGTTTCATGAGAAGGGCAGATGCAATGGGAATCAGAAACTGAGTTATTCCCAGTGAAGTGGAGGCCCATGGGTGTGAATGGACGCAGAGAAGCAGAGATGAAGGTCTGGGAGTTGTGGTGATCAAGAAACTGAGCTAGTTTGTTGGATATACACATGGACATGGAGGTCACCCTTGGTGATGGCAGAAATGGGGTGTAGGTAGGTACCTAAGATCTCAGCAAAGGAGGCGGAAGGACCATGAGGTGAGCAGATTTCAAAAAGGAAAAGGAGCACAGCCAGATGGTACCAGAATTTTACGATACTGGAGGGTGAATGGCCTGAGTACAGCACGGGAGAGAAAGGAGACCAGCCCACGAGGGAAACGTAGGAAATGCCATATCAGCAAAGTTTTAGATTCTTAGTTTAGTGCATTTGCTCAAAGTCACATTTGACCCTCTGACGACGACCCGTGGCTCTATTTTCCTGTCTCCTCAGACGTTCCGCATTGCGCCCCCCATGTGCATCACTAAGCCAGAAGTAGATTTTGCAGTGGAAGTATTTCGTGCTGCGGTAACCCAACATATGGAAAGAAGAACTAAATGAAATTTAAAATATAAAAACCCACAAGCCTCAAGAGCTTCCCACGGGCATTCAAGAGCTAATATGGGGAATTTCAGAACCACCGGTATTAAGTTGTAAAGGTCAATTGCCTACCAGTCACATTTGTTGACAGTCCCTGTTATGCTGAGAACTCCTTCAGCAAAGGATCTCTGCTCTCGCTCAGAGAATAAATCCCACTTGGTCTAGGTTAGCTCTGCTCATTTGGTTCCCCTTCGCAATGATTAGTTTGTGCATGATATGTGGCCTATTTTGGGAGAATGAATCCTGAAGGACCATGTTTGGTGGGGGTGCCTTCACCCTTCACTCTTCATCTTCAGAAGAGATGTTTTCTTGCACTGAAGCATCATATATCATGATGGGACTGCATGAACCATGGCAGACACTTTGGGGACATGACACCAAAGCTCTTGTCCTGAGGTTGAAAGGTGTAGGGAAGTTGAGCCCTTAGTAACATCAGTGAGCCACTGACTTAACCAATCTGGACCAACCTTACCTGGGGGCTTCTTGTTATAGAAGATGATAAATTCACTGTATTTCACAGCCTTTTTAATTTGTTTTCTATTATTGCAGCCATAAACATGCTGAGAAATGATGCAGAAAATACCCAAATTTTTTACCTACTTTAAAATGTCTGTCAGAAACTTTTCCATTCTCACTGCCATCATCCCACCCTGGACTAAACCCTCAGCACTCCTATTACAATGGTCTCCAATACAAGAATTTCCCCAACTCTAGTTATCAGAATGCACATTCATTGTGTTATTTCCCATAGGTGTTTACCACCTGGCTTAAAATTGACAAAATTTTTTCTTAATTTGACTTTTTTCACTTCAGTATATTTGAGACTAACCTTTCTATAACTATAATAAATGAGAGATCAGTACTACTTGTCATAACTGGAGAGTAATCATAAAAACAAAGTGAACACAAAGCAATGTAATTCCTTTCTGGCCAGAACCAGTTGAGTGCAGACATTCTCAGGCTGAGGCTAGTGCTTTCTCTGTTCAAAGGGGAGATTAGAGAGTTTTTGAGGGGTGTTAAAAGATATTGGCAAAGTTCAATCCTCTCCTTAACACAAACAAAAGAGGTTCCACAGAACAGAAAGGGAAGTAACTTTCTCAGCATGCATGCAATGCGATGTTTATTTAAGTTGTGCCCAGTTTGAAGCCATGTCCTGCTGGTCTACTCTCAAGGTATCTGCTCCACCAACACATCCTACATTCACTGCGAGATTGTCTCCCTTGAGCACTGACTTAAACATGGTATTCCTTTACACAGAACATTACAGTTGCTCCCCATTGTCCCCTGGATAAGATCAAAATCCCTTTAACAAGGAACTCAGTGTCCTCCAGTGTCCAATATCCAAATAGGGCAAGCTCAGTGGAAAGATCATTGAATTAAGAGCCAAATGACCTGAATTCTAAACTCAGTTCTTCCACTTATTTGCTATAGATGACCTTGGGCACCTTTAACCTCTTTAAAACCTCTCTTTGTTCCCAGGCATATCAGTACTTGCCCTTCCTACCTGCTGAGTTGTCTTGGGAATTGAGTGAAGTAATGAATGTAATTGCTTTGCAAACTAATGAACTATGCAAATGGAAATTTCTTCACTTCAGCATAAGCATCTCTTCTTTCCTTCACTACAAAAGGTCCCAAGAGCAGTTTTTGGGCTTCATTTTTATTTCCTTGCATGTGTCCTTGCCTCGACCACTAGGATCTCATTCCTGCCTCTCATTGTTTGGAAACTGCCTTCTCAAAAGGCCGCCAGGGACTTCCCTATGGCCAAAACATAGTGTTTCCTTGCAATGTTTTTTCTAAACTTCTGCTCCTTCTTAAATAGCACTTCCTTGGCTTCTGCAATCTGGTCCTTCTATCTGAGATGGCTCCTTCTCAGTCTCTTTCCCGGGGGCTCCTTCACTACAAGGTTCTGTCCTAGGCCCTCCCTTCTGTCCATGCTACATTCTCTCCTGTAGGCAAGCTCATCCACTTCAGAAACTGCACCTATCTTGCCTGTGCTGATTGCCTTCCAAATACTCATCTTCAGTCCTCGACCTTTTTCCCCGAGCCCAACCCCAAATGAATCTCTTCTTGATTAATGGTACCTATTTTGTCTCAAGCTCACACTTTAGGTCATTCTTTTTCTCCAAGCTATCTTTTTGCCCTTTATATGACTAAGTCTCATGAATACTTTCTACAACAGAATTATTCTAATATGGCCCAATTATACCAAAGCTGACTTAATTTGGACTATCATTATCACTCCTAAATTATTTAAACTGCCTCCTAACTGGTGTCCCGGACTCCTTCCCAATCACCTTCTACACTGATGCCAATGTCACTTACTAAAAGGATCTATATGATCACATCTCTTATCTCTTGAAGCCTTTGAGGGCTCCCTATTGCCTGTGGAACAAAGTCTAAACTCCAACTATTAAGGTATCCAAGAGCCTTCACATTTTGCCCCCAAACTTTTTCCAGCTTTGCTCTCACCATTCTTTCCATGTCATGCACGACGGTGCCTTGTTCCCATAGTTCACTCTATCTGGAATGTTCTCTCTTTCTTTGCTAGTGGAAATTATGGAGTCGGGAAGATTGAATAAGAAAGCCAACCCTTACTTATGTTATTCTTCAAAGCCATTTTACCCTCAATGTTCCTTTTCTTTTAAGATAAAGAAAAGAACATTAAATTTACAATAACCACTTAGGAATTTAGTAAAATGTGAAGAGGAAACAATAAAACAGAAACTTAAAACAAAATAAGCTTTCATGCTGAGGCGAAGGTCCCTGATACTGCCAGGACATCCTCCCCTGGAGGAAGGGGCTGAAGCATTTCATTGTTCAAATAAATTCATAGAACATATTCCTTGTGGCTTCTCGAGTCCTATGGGATCTTGTGTGTACCTAGCAGTGTCCCCTGTTAGTGTCTCACCTCTGGGGGACATTGTAGGACACTGTAGAGTAAAACTCAGCAATGGAATTCTGAAAGGTAGCTCAATCCTGGTCTCATGCCTTGACCATGAAGGTTGCATGGCTCTATCCCATGCCTGTGGATCAGGCTAAAGTGTCCCTCTTTCTTGACCAGCAGTTGGGGGTTTAAGATACGTCAGCCATCAGAAGTGTGGAGCGGGAAGGGCAAAAATGGTGGCCTAAGAGCATGTATTTATTTCCTTCACTAACTAGTTAATAAACATGGTGGTTTCCTACCTCTTCCCAGTTGGAACCGTGGGCAGGAGTTTAGCACCATTTCTCTCCCTCCCATTTTCTGTGCTGCCCACAGGAGGTGGGAGGCAGGCCAGCTTACATAAGGCAGGGAGCCCACATCCCTGCCAAGCTCTTTTTCATTTCCTTTCCTGTTAAAACTAAAGTAAAGATAACAAACACTCAGCTCAAGTAAACTTTTTTCCACCTAGGGAACATATTGACAGTCACATGATTAGAATATAACATTGAAATATTGGCAACTATTTAAAAGCCCCTGGACTGTCAACCCACTCAGGAAGGGTAATTTTTTAAAACATCACATCACCCGGCTGGGCGTGGCTCAGCGGTTGAACATCAACCTTGGATCCAGGAGATCGAGGTTCGATTCCCGGTCAGGGCACATGCCTGGGTTGGGGGCTCCATCCCCAGTCAGGGGGCATGCAGGAGGCAGCCGATCAATGACTCATCATTAATGTTTCTATCTTTCTCTCCCTCTCCCTTCCTCTCTCTGAAATCAATAAAACTATATATTTAAAAAATAATAAAAATTAAAAATCACATCAAGCTTTGGTTATATCATTAATAATTATTATAAAAAGATGTAAAATAACACTTATAATTGGTAATACAGTAATAAACTATGCTCTTATTTGTGCTGTGAAACTCCATCTTTATAAAAACGACATCAGTGTAGTTTTTAACTCTCCAGGAATTCAAGCTAACCTCAAAAAGTATGGGAGGACTTCATTCTGCTTCCACCTTCAAGTCTTACATCTCACCTTTCCTGCAAAGAATGACAAAAGAAGACTAGAAGACATCACCACCTTAGAGCATCATAGTCATGGTCCAGAAGAAGGTTTAAGGGCTGCTGGCCCTGCATCAGCAGATGGCTCCAGGTTCATTAAAGCCGAAGCCTCACTTCCAACTGAGGCACAAACAATAAGGACGGCCCAGCTCCGCCCCATTAAAAACGGGAATGGGAGCATGCACCACCAAGTACCTCACCGAAGACAAAGGGTCCACCTAACTTAGTAGGAGTGAAGACAGAGACAAAAGATTAATTCTACCATCCCTTTGGGTTTAGTTAAGATAGAAGTAGGCCAGCCTGCGTCTGACTGGTGGCAGATGTGAGGGGCATCTGGAAGAATGGAAGGCGTTGTGCTGGGCACCGTGCTGGAGAACAGCCATGGAGGGAGATGTCAGGAACACGGTTTATTCAGAGACTGGTTGGGAGGGACACTGCAGAGGGCAGCTACTGGAAACATGAGCCTCTAATTAGATGGGACAACACAAGGGAAAGGAGGGAGCCGCACCTGCTCTCTAGTTGATTTGTTTTAGGAAAATTGGCCTCTCTGAGCTGAAGCTTCCTGGGGTCCAAGAAGAGGGTAATATAACCCCATGGAAACCTTGTGAGGATTTAAATAAGAAAACAATGGGCAGCTGTGCAATGAGTACGAACTTTTTCCTTGAGGTACCTTTCCTGACACAGAGCGTCCTCATGGCGCTTGGTTCGCACCGTGCTGGGCTAGTGTTCATGCCTGTGTATGCACCTCATCTCCCTCACCAGGCCCTAAACCGCTGGCAGGGTGACCCTGTCTTCTCCATCCTCACATGCTGACGGCCTAGCAGGGCTCCTCGCAGAGAGGCAAAGACTAACTCCTAAGGGTGCCGTGTGCTTTTTATCCATAGATGCCACAACGTCACCAACAGCTGAAGGCCTCACTTAGGCCATCTGAAATAAACAATTAGCCATCTGATAGGACTTCTACATGTGAGTATCTGTGTGTATATTCAGAAACATATATATTATGTAGTTAGAAACAGAGAGAGAGAGATANGTGCTTTTTATCCATAGATGCCACAACGTCACC